TTTTTTAGGATAGTTTTGAACATTTAAAATACCATTAGGACTCATGTCGAAACTATTGTACATGTATAAGGATTGTTTACTATATTAATATTGTGTTCATTACATGCACGGGAGCTGATAAACGAGACTTTGAAAAGCTTGCCTCTTGCAGCTATTATCAACATGTGCTAAAGGCTTGGCTTCATTAAGATCGCTTTTAGATTTCTATAGTATAAAAAAGCCACGGTGACGGCTAGTCGAATGTGCGCTGGAGATGCGTTAATAAATACTCACGCACCAGCGTTACTCTTGCGGGTGAACACAAAATAGCTTTGCAAGAAGAATATTCCAGCCTTCGCGTAGCTCTATTTTGTTTGGGGTTATTTTAGCTGGAGAGGCGAAGTGAAATTATTAAAATAAATTAAAAAAATGAAAATTTGATGTACCATTTATTGCTTCTTCAGACAACTTTGTGAAGACCGCCAGTCACAAAATTTACGCACATAGCACTGGTTAGGCTGCTCAGCCACCTAAAGCTGTCTTCCCAGTTACTATTTATCCATATAATATGGTACATGTATATCTTGTCATCTGTCCCGGTGGGTCGGAAACTATGTGACACACCTTCGTTTCCGCTTGAATAGGGGGAGTCAGAATTGAGATGTGGTATGAAAATCACGATCACTTGCACGCCAACAAAATGGCAAGGTATCTCCCAAAATATCGCCACGTTCACAATTGAAATAGATGATAATATTTTTATTGTTGGCATTCTGCTGCATGTTGCTGCCACGATCAGTGGTAGATGGCTCAGATGCTGCAAGCTCGTGGTGCACCGCGGTTCGAGGTATGGTTGTAGTGGTGTAGGATGATGCAAAGGCCACCAAACGCCCGCTAGCCGCTTGCACGTGCGGTGACGGAGAACGGCTTCATTGAAGAATCGATTTCACTAGATTATCAGAGTGGTGATCAGCCCAAAATGGCCCACCATTTTAGAAATGGTAGGTGATTTCCGAAATGGTTCACCTGAACAGGAAAATGAAATGTCCGCCGAACATAAAAATAAGTTTGACCATTTCGCAAAATCATCGCCACGAAAAGTTTATTCTGACTCTCCCTAATAGGAACGGAAATTCTCTTCTTCCTCATTCCAAGAACGGAAATTCTCTCCCTTCTTCCTCAAGATCCGCCGGCTTGACGAAATATGATGAAGCTTTTCAGTGCGATTGTTGGTGCTGCGGGAAGCTCTTTCCGTGTGGATATCGACGCGAGTCTGTCGGTGGGTCACTTGAAGGATGCGATTAAAGAGAAGAAGATGTACCAGTTCCTGCCGATGAGTTGCAGCTCTTCCTGGCGAAGAAGGTGAAAGGTACCGAGGTGTGGCTGACGGAGAAAGATGTGAAGGAAGGTGATAATGGCACGAGCTATTTGAAGTTATTGGACGTTGCGGGAGCTCCGCTCAACTTGGTTGGCTTTTTGGAGGAAAACGTGCGGTTCCGAGTCATGAAGGAGGATGTTAAGGAGTTCCGTTCACGTGGTTGTGGTGGTTCCTAGTGACCCCACAATAGAGAAGTTGAAGAGTGCGTGGCATCCTTTGTCCCGATCTGTCTTTTTGAGATTTTGTTTATAATTTTTTGATGTGTTAACTTCTATTGTGTAGAACA